CCGTTTGATGGAGTTATTGACTTCATTTTCTTTTATTAAATTGTTTGTGATTTTGGAGAAAAGAGAGGTAAGAGAAAGGTCTTGATCAGAATCCCAAATATTGTTGTCTTTATCATCATCGTTGTTATAATTGTGGTTCGTTATTGAGGTTTGTGATAGTGTATAGATTGGACCATAACCTCCTTTATTAGATTCTTTATACTTTCATGATAATTTGTTGGGGATATAATGATTTAATATCTTAATTTTTTTATTTTTTGTATTTTTATTAAGTGAATGACTGTGGTCAGAGTTTTGATTATTATTTGTTTTTTGTTTGTATATTGTATTATGCTTATAAAGCGAATTGATTTTCAGAAAAAATCATTGTGTATTTATTTGTGTTTTGTTGGATACGAAAAAACTCTTTTGGGAGTTGTGCAAAGTTATAGTATTGGTAAAGTGTTTTGACAATTTCGTTAATTTTTGTTTTATCTGTTATTGGGAGTATTATTGTTTGTCTTGTTTTGTTTGCTAAGTCAATAATTACTTTATCAATTGATGGAAGTTCATCTTGTGAAGTGTAATTGGTTAAAATCCAATCATTTGGAAGTCTGTTAAACTTGTAATGCAGTCTTAATTGTTTGACTGTTTGTAATATTTGAGTTCTGTTAATTGGTAAATTGGTGTTGACTATTCTATTAGCTGTATTCATATCTGTAGGAAGAGGAGGTCTGGTGTCTGCTTCTAAATCAATCCATTCTTTAGAAAGTTTATTAGTTGTAAATGTATATTTTTTCTTCAGAGTTTCTGTTAAGAGTTGTATATCTTCTTTTCTGGTAATTGGCAAAGTGATATTATTTGGAAGGTCTGATATGTTTACGTGTTTAGGATGTTTTGATAATTCAGTATGAATAAAGAAATATGAGTCTGGTAATTTTCCCTCGAACCTATATTCTTTTCTCAATACATCTCGGATGTCGTAGAACGAGATATTATCTGAGACTATTGCTCTGTTCCATGGGAGATATTTTCTAATGTCTTCTTTCACGTTGTTGTAGTCT